CCCCCCCGGGCCCCCCCCCCCCCCCCCCCGGACACCAGATCACCAGATGTGCTTGCTCTAGTCCCCCTAGGGCACTGGACCTCCTTGGTCCTGTCCGCTTCCCCCCTCCCCGCAAGGCGCTGGATGTTCTCCCCAAGTACCTAGTCTTTCCTGGAATCAAGCTTTCTCTCTCTCATGCTGGACCCCAGGCCTTCTCTTCTAAGGCCTGCCTTGCCCCCCTTGGATGCTAAGCCAGTTGGGACCTCCATACCTCTCCTTCAGTCCCTTCCACAACCACCAGATCATTCATCAGCAGCCCTCTTGGGTCATGCTCATGTCCCCAGGCCTATCTGTTCCAAGACCTGCTTCACCCCTTTTGGGCTCTGGACCCCTGGCCCCTCTGCTCCCAGGCCTATCTGTTCCAAGGCCTGGCTAGCTCCTGAGTTCTGGGCCATTGCCACACCTGCAAGCTATTCTTCACACAGACCCTCCTCTTAAAGTATCAGGGACTCCAAGTACCCTGGCACAGTATGGCATCTACATATAATGCACAACAAATATAATGTCTGCTTGGGGTCATAAATGGGTCTTAAATAAGGCACAAAATGAATACAACTTTAGCTAAGCATATATTAAATGCTTGTATTAAACTGTATAGTAAATCAGCAATTCTGCCTATATACCTACAGCAATTCTACCTATCACAACTAAGGGGTACAGCATAAATATACCGTACACCTTGATATAATTCATCAAAGCCTTGAAGTATATGCTAAATTTTAAGCTACTCATACGCATAAAGCTAAATTTTATCTGGATTAGAGTTGATGCACTGAAATTAACATTACTTTATATTCTACCCCTGTAATGGGTTGGGGATTACTCAGCTCACATTAGTAAACAAACATAAGCATGGTCCACAAAGGGTAAATTCACAGTCCTGGACCTTCTCCCAGACCAAGACTTGAACCTGCCCCTGATGTGTGGTTTTTCCCAGGACTTTCTTTCTTCAGGTTCATTCTTAGGTCATGATCCACTTCCTGCTTAGTCTCTGGCTGCCTTCCCTCTGGAGGGCTCTCTCTATTTTTGTTATTGTGGATCTGTGGCTGGCCTCATTTTGGTCTCTTCTAATTCTTCCTCTGGCTGCAAAATTTGACTCTTCAAGCCTCCCCCTTCCTCTCTCCCTGTTCCTGTTTTCTAGTCTCCCTGGCAGTTGGTTCACCACACTCATAGTAACAGAGATACCCAATTGGTAAAAGCTCCTTCACAAGAGCATGGGCACTTGTGAGGTCCTCTTGTATCAAAAACAAAAGCTTCTAATTCTGTATATATTTCTGTAGCAGGAAGCTTAGTGGTTGAAAAGTAGGTGTGCCAGGGAGCAAGTAGAAGTCATATGGCCTATAGGGGCATGGGCTATCAGGGTATAAACCTAGAGCTGGAGCTAGTTAGACAGGCTAGCCCTGAAAGCCATGGAGAAAGGAGCTCCTGGGCTGCAGAGCTCCTGGTTAACACCTGAACTGAGGTAAGCAACACTGGTGGTTTTTGGAAGGGACTAAGGGAAGATAAGAAGGGGCTAGAGGGCTCAGAGAGAGAACAGAGGTCTAGAGATGGAGCAGGGCAAGATGGCCCAAAGAGAAAACAGAGAGCCTGGGGAGAGGTCAGAGGCTAGAGGGCTAGGGAGCAGATAGGGCTAGGATATAAGGAGAAGAGCTGAAGGCCAGGAAGGACCAGAGCCAGAGACTGGCAGGGCTGGTCATCCCATGGGTCTCAACTGCCCTAGGAGCTGGGCCAAGGTCTAAAGATAAGGACCAAAGGCCAGGAGAGCTGTACCCAGAGAATAAGAGGGCCAAAGTGCCCATATTCCAGAGAGGGGCCAGATGAACAGAGCCAGAAACCCACAGCCCCTAGGGGCACTTATAAAATGATCAGGACATGTGACATCTGCAAGGCATGGGGGTGGGTATTGGGGTGAGGAAACTCTTCAAGGAGACCCAGGTTGACAAAGGCTGAAGGGGCTCCAAAGGCATCATGGCCACCCCTGGGGATGAACCCTGTTACAAATTCCCTTGCTAGCACTGTACCTCTTGCTGCAGTTCTTGCAGATGCCTATTTTGCAAACCACCTATTTCTATAGGGTCTTTATGGTGGCCTTATGCTTCTCTGCCTCTCTTGCATTGCTAGGACTTTTGACTTTTCAGGCGCAGGCCTTTTCCCCGGCCCAAAGCAATTGTGGTCACCTTTTCTTGGCGTGCTCTCAGCTTCTCTTCTCACGTCTGGCTCTTTTCAGATTCTGCTGCGATTAGCTGCATGATCTCCTTAATTCTATCAACCTCAGCTGCTAACACGCATCTCAGTTCCTTATTTTTTCCCTCTTTATTTCCTGTCTTTGCTTCCTGTCCTACTTCAGGGAAGCTACTTCGGCCTCAGCTTGCTTGTAGCTTTAGCATTCCACCTCCAGTTCCTACTGCAGGTATGCTGCACCCTCACCTAGCACATCAGAAAATAGATAAGACTAGTAGTTCATATTTTAGTAGTTCATATAGTAGTACCTCTTGGGCATCAGGGGCTGCACTAGACTTCACTCCTCTCTTGATACCCTTCATCCCCCAACGTACAGCAGACAGCTATTTCTTCCCTTTTAAAAGGGCCCTCTTCTCCATGTTGGATGTCTCTTTAAATTGCTGCAGTTCACTTTAAACTGCTGCCTGCATTCTCCACCATGTGTAACAGGTTGGGGATTACTCAGATCAGTCCTTTATTTTCCTGGGCACTTCTTTCCATAAGCACAAATTCTCAAATCAGTAAAACAAACATAAACATGGTCCATAAAGAGTAAATTCACAGTCCTGGGCCTTCTCACAGACCCTGAGAAGCTAACTCTGGCTCTCTGCTTCTCTCTCAACACCTCAATCTTCCTTCTCTCCCTCTGAGTGAGTTCCCTCATGTGGCACTGCTGCTGCCAGCCTTGCAGCCCCTAGGTCTCTTCTCAGACCCTAAGAAAGTACTCTGGCCTCGTGTTTCAGCACCTAACATATACGGTACACCACCCCCCAGCTTCTTTCCCTGGGAGCCTTTTAACCCCCTTTGTGCCATATGGGTCAACTGACAACTGACGCCCAAGAAAAAGCCAACCTGCTCAATGGGTATTTTGCATTGGTTTTTCACCAGCCCCAGGGGACGGCCCTGCTCAGTACAGTACAGGACGGCCACAGGGAGGGGGAATTGTTACCCTTCATCAATGTTGACCAAGTAAAGGAACACGCTGAGAGGCTGGACACCTTGAAGTTTACGGCCCAGGCAGTTTACAACTTAGGGTACTTAAGGAGCCGGCAAGCATCATAGCTCAGCCCCTGACATGGATTGTCAAGTGCTCGTGGCACTCAGGCAAAGTGCCCAAAGATTGGAAGAAGAGCAATGTGGTGCCTATCTTTAAGAAAGGGAGGAACGTAGATCCAGGGAACTACAGGCCCATCAGCCTGACTTTATCCTGGGGAAGATCTTGGAAAAACTTATCAGAGAGACCATTCTTGACAAACTGGGTGAAGGCAACATCCTGAGGGATAGCCAGCATGGGTTTATTGCGTTCTTGCCTGACCAATCTCATCTCCTTCTATGATCAGGTGACATATCACCTGGACAAGGGAGAAGAGATTGACATCATATATCTTGATTTTAAAAAAGCTGTTGATCTGATATTCCAAGACCATCTCATAGAAAAACTGGCCAACTGCGGCCTTGGCTACATCAGTCTGCTGGCTGGGGAATTGGCTCTCAGGTTGGACCCAGAGAGTGGTGGATGACAGAAGTCAATCATTGTGGTGTGCCGTAACCAGTGGGGTCCCCCAAGGATCCGTCCATGGGCCTATTCTTTTCAACATCTTCATTAATGATGTGGACATTGGTGTCAGAAGTGGACTGGCCAAGTTTGCTGATGACACCAAACTTTGGGGTAAAGCATCCACACCCAAGGACAGGATAGTGATCCAGGCTGACCTGGACAGGCTCAAAAAATGGGTGGGTGAAAACCTGATGGCGTTCAACACCAAAAAATGCAAGGTACTCCACTTGAGAAGAAAAACTCACAACATGCTTATAGGCTCAACAGTGCTACACTTGCTAGCACCCTGGCTGAAAGGGACTTGGGGGTTGACTGATCACAAGATGAATATGAGCCACCAATGTGATGTTGCAGCCAGCAAAGCGAGCAAAACTCTGGCTTGCACCCATAGATGCTTCTCTAGCAAATTCCAGGATGTCATCCTCCCACTGTACTCGGCCTTGGTGAGGCTACAGCTGGAGCACTGCATCCAATTCTGGGCTCCACAATTCAAAAAGGATGGGAGAAGCTTGAGAGGGTGCAGAGGAGAGCCATGCACATGATCAGAGGGCAGGAAAACAGACCTTATGATGAAAGACTGAGAGCTATGGGACTCTTCAGCTTGGAAAAGCACAGGCTCAGGGGAGACTGGTTGCTGCCTATAAGTATATAAGAGGGGTACATCAGGATCTGGGGGAGCGTATGTTGACCAGAGTGTCCCATGGGATGACAAGGTCAAATGGTCACAAACTACTCCAAGACTGTTTCAGCCTGGACATAAGGAAAAACTTCTTTACTGTCCAAGCCCCCAAGGCCTGGAACAGACTGCCACCAAAGGTGGTGCAAGCACCTACTCTGGACTCTTTTAAGAGGCAGGTGGATGTTTATCTTGCTGGGATAATAGTTTCATAGTTTCTAGGGTCAGAAGGGACCTGAGAAGATCATCTAGTCCGACCCCCTGCCATGGCAGGAAAGAGTACTGGGGTCAAACGACCCCAGCAAGGTGGTCATCCAACCTCCTCTTAAAAACCCCCAAGGTGGGAGCCTGCACCACCTCACTTGGAAGCTGGTTCCAGACCCTAGCCGCCCTGACCGTGAAGTAGCGCCTCCTGATGTCCAACTTAAACCTTCCCTCCGCCAGCTTGTGACCGT